CAGCAGTCATACAGCTTATGGCCGTATGCTTGTGAACAAGCGGCAGCAGCTTTGCCTGTGAGCAATAGTGCTTGCAGGCCTCCAGCAGGCTCGCAGATACAACCGGTTGGAACGCCTCTGACAACGCCCTTGCAGCTTCAAGTAGGGTCGGGTACGCCTTCCTGTCTGGGAGTCGAGGGACGTCGGCTTGCAGCACCGGCGGTAAATGCTGCCGTCGAAAGCTCTGCTACTCCTGGTGGACCCTCTTCAGGCTTGTGGGTTTCCGGAGGTGCTGCGTGCAACGGGGGACCCGTGACAACTAGTTGCCCTTCCCCATGTAGCACTGTTGCATCTTATTCTTCGTGCCATGTTTCCTGCTTGGGAAAGCCTCTGCAGCATGCACCTGTTTCGTGCTTCCAAACTGTCCTTATGGGCTCTCCATTGGGGTCTTCTGGCCATGTGGTCCAGCATGCACGCTCTACGCATCAGCAGCACCTCCTAGCCCAACAGCCGTGTCAGCAAAATGTGTTACTTCAGCAGCATTTGGTGCAGCAGCACTTGGTACATACACCAATAATGCAGCAACAAGTGCCACAGCAGCCAGGGGGTGGGCTATCTTTGTGTATTCGACCTGAAATTTCTAGTACGATAACTACTGCTTTGCGGAGCTATCTCTCAACAGTGGTATCTGAGGTGTACAAAGAGGTGAGGGGTTCTTGGGGATCTTCAAAAGGCTGTTGCGCTCAGCTGCAGCATCTGCCTGTTTGCCGCAAAGACCGCGAAGGAGGCAGCAGTCCCATAGGAACGAGCAGTACGGCGACCACGAGTGGTGGCTTGGAAGAGGAGGAAGATTCGGCGTTCTGCAGCAGTGGCAGCAACGGCAGCAACATCAGCGCTACGACAAGCAGCACAAGCAAGTGCAGGGATACCGTACATGCGCCTGTTGGTTTGCCTAAAGGGTTATCCTCGGACGACGCGCAATCTGCCCTGCAATCAGGAGCTGCGTCTTCATCGGGCGCTGATGACGGCATCACAGAGGGAAAGTGGAGCTTGCTATGCAAACCTGAGGGTTACAGCGGCAGCAATTCTTCAGCAGCCCAGAGAACAAGAACAGCTGGAGCAGCAGGGGAGGAGGCGTTCCATTTAGACGCCATAAAAAACTGTCCTCCCCACCAACTGGCGAAGTACTTAACGCTGTTGCTGCCTTTTCTCTCCGAATCACCGCGTGAGCTGAGGGCCATAAATCCTCGTTGTTTTCAAGAGACGCGAACGCAGTTAGAAACGCTTTACCAGCGGTTTCAAGAGCAACGGCATCTCCTTCAAATTCCTTCGCAGCAACAGCCCCATCAGCACCAATTACCAGTGCAGCACCAGCATGTGCACTTGCGACAGCAACACCCGCACCAGCCTATTCGTCTGCAGCAACAGCAGCAGCCTATGGCTTTACAACAACCGCCTCATCACCAGCCGATTGCGTTGCAGCAACACCACCAGCCGGAGCTACGGCTGCATCCCACACAGCAGATCTCGCTCCAGCATCAACAACAGTCAATGCAGCAGCCAAAGCAAGATGCTTCTGTGGAGCAGCCTCAGCAGCTAGCAATGCCACAGCAGCAACTGCCAACTTTATTGCAGCAGCAGCAGCAGTTAGCCCATGCAACGGGCCTTTCCACGGCGCAGACGGGTTTTGCTGCTGGCTGCTGCAGCGCTTTACGAGAAGCAGCAGCAACGCCAAGCCCAGCAACAGGCACAACAGCGACAGCAGCATCTGGTTTTAGTAATCCAGATGGTCAGTACGGTGGCGCCGTGGTCGCACAGAGTAAGATAGGCCCTTGACCTCAGCCTCGCTCAGCGGTTTTGTGCTACCTGATATACACAGCAAACACTTCATGATGTCTATACATGCATTTAGTCTGTTGCCCCACAGAAAGGCAGGTGACGCGCTGATTGGGGGTGAAAGATTTAGTTTTGGGTCCCACACGAACGTCGTTGTGTGTTTACATGCAAACCCGTGTATGACTGCGAATTCAGATGTAACGACTTTCCGGTTTATCCGCTCATATGTACGCAGGCTGGCAAGGAACAGACGCAGCGGCAGCACCAGCACCTGATGGCGTGAGAGGTCAAGGACGTGGCCGTTCTTCATGGCCGGTGGATGACAGTCTCCGGTGGGGTCCACCTGCTTCCCCTGGTTGCTCAGTAGGTACTCCGTACGGGTATATAGGGACAGCGCCCGCAGCTGCTTCTGGAAAAAGGGATTGCCAAGGAAACTGCAGTGCTAGCAGCGGAGATCCATCTGCAATGGTGCAGCTTCCTCGAGCTGTGTTGCAGCCCTCAGTTCCAGCACCTGCTGCACAAGCAACTGAGACACCAAGCGGCCCCGGCGATGACTGCGTGGTGCCGAAAATTTGCATCGGAACTCTTTCTCCCTGCGCGCAAGACGGCTTTAGCTTTCCAGGAAGAATGGTGATGCCTTGGGGAAGTAGAGGGAGCCTGGGTCGCCCTTCGCCTCCTTCCGTTGGGACCCTTGCCACGATGGAGTCAGCAGCAGCAGCATCACCACAGTGTTTGTGGCCGATATCTTCGTCGACTGCCACCACTGCAGCGCACAGTTCCACAACGGCTACCCCTCCTGGAACGGCACCAACAAGCACGACCACAACAATTTTGCCTCCGATGAGGAAAAAGCTGATACCGGCTGAGCTAGGCAGTGTTATATCTGCTGAAGGGCTTGGCCGGTCGCCACGAGGCAACGTTAGGGTTTGTCACAGCCCCCCTCACAACGCGTGGCTCGTCCTGTGCTGTGCTGGGGGTGTAGAGAGCCGCGCATTCTCCGTTTTGCAGCTGGGCTATGAAGGGGCTAAAAGGGTGGCGCTTCTGTATGCAGCGCAGTGTGAGTCGACACGAATGAGCCGTAAACAGAGGAGCATGCAAGCTAACTAGAGATTATTGACCTGGATTTCACATTCACCACGACAAGATGTAGACACTTGTGTAGCGTAATCACGCGTTGTGAATGTAAGGAGCTGAAGTCTCCATTTGCACACATTCGGTGCACGTCAAGGGTTGCACGCTGTACTCGACGGCTGTCGAGCTCTGGAGAACGGCTCATGCTTGCTGCTTCTGCAGGCCGGAGACACCTGAACAGTCGTAGGTCTGCTGCAGCGAAGACCTCAACGTCAGTGGGCTCGGCGCCAGACGGAGCCCCTGACCGTCCATCGAAAGTCAGAAACCTTGAGGAGCTTTCGCCAGGAGTGGCAGCGAGTGGCTTAGGCTCAACAGGGCCTCCTGGGGGGCCCTTCAATCTCATTGACTGCTCTGGAGATGTCCCGTACACGACTCGAAGCGTATGTCAGGGGTGCACCTGTTAAACAATATTTAGCTTTACGTTGGGCGCTTCTTTTGCGTGCCTGATTCTTCATTTTCCTTCTTCTTTGTTTTGCTGTTGCCTGCCTTCACCTATAGTAGGATCCGTCCATGGTGGCTGTGCCGTCCTGCGGCGTTTTGCGTGGCTATGCATTGCATTTGCTCATGTGTCAGGGTGCCGGTATCCTGTCACTGTGGCCTGAAATGGTGATGCTGCCGGTATGTACTAGAGTCTGCGATTCTTCAGGACGTTTCGGCAAGCCGAGTTGCTCGTCTTAGCCGTCGCGCCATGGAGCTGCCGTATGTGCACGGTGTTCGTTTTGAAGCTGAAACGTTCGCTTGGGTGGCGCAAATGAGGGGGGAAGCTCGCCGGTTTCTAGTTAAGAAACACGGCTTTATCAAGTCCAGACTCTGTGCAGTGGAGAAAATACAAGCTTGGAGAGCCACGCTTCCCCAAGCTACTCTGGAGCACGAACTCAAAGGTTAGCACGTGAACTCCTAGCACTTCTTGCACTCAGACACCCTTTAAACGAAGCTGCCTTCGTTGATCTGTGAGGTCATGCATTAGCCGCTCAGCGTGCAATGATGCCCCTCCACGGGGACAAAACGTTGAGGTGGTCGACATGGGTAGTGCAACAAGGACGTAGGTATGCAAAACACATACACACTCCATGAGCGCATTTTTGCTTTTGCTTGTTGCTGCAGTGGAGCAAGAAGTACTGGAAATGTTACGCAGTTCCGCGGCCCATTCGGCGCCCGTCGAGCCCGTGCCCGTGGAGCCAAACCTCCAGCAGCTCGATGCACCAGATTTCAGGGAAACGTCGGGTACTCTTGACTTTTGAATACTTTGGTAGCTACTTTGGCTGCTGCATTGCTAGTTGCTACGACAACCACTGTTGTTGCTGCGTGTCCTCGGCGCTTAAGCGCCCCTTACGGCCAACGCCTTTGCGTCTTGGCACCAACTTAGAGATGCCTCTTTCCTCCGTTTTCTGTTTCTGCGCCGCAACACAATGTGCTACATTGCTGCAGTAGCCAGTGCTGCAGTCACCCACTTGAACCGTGATAGCGGCCAGTCCAGCCGCCGCCACGGGTGAGGGACATTCAATTATTGCCGTCCTTCCGTAAGTCCACCCGTGAAACACGTAGCAGTGGCGGTCCCGTCATCACCTTCACTTGAGAATTTAGTAGTGAAGTGCCGCTTTCTGTGGCTACTTCCAGGGAAGAAGTCAGCTGCCCCGGACGACAGCTTTGTTCCGGGGAGCTGACATTTCCCGCTCCGACAGTTGTTGCCGACGCAGGAGCTGACATTGGTGATAGCACTCACTAGACGAGCAGCAAGAATGCAGCGGAACTGCATACCCCAATGGGGTCGTGCAACAGATGTTACAACAGATGTTACTGTCACTGCGCTATACCTAGCAAGATGGAACCAGGCTGGGCATCGGGCACCCTTCTTTCGTTGGGCCCAACACAGGGTTTCGTTTTGGTTTCACGCAGCAGCGGGTATTCTGAGTTGCATCTTGCCGCACCGTTCAGCGCAGCAGCAAGTGTTGCTGACGCCAAAGCCCTGCTCCGCCAGAGGCTCTGAGCCCGCAATGATTCAGCAGAGCACACAGTTTGCTTCTCTCACACGCGCTGTTTTTGAGGAGCAACCACTAGTAGCTCCGGCCAAACAAACACCAACGTTTAGCTGGGCGGCCAGTGAAGAAGCAGCGCGTCCCTTCTGGCATGGGAGGCTGATCAAAAGGGATGCACAGTGGCTTCATAGCACCCGTCATGCCATCTGCGTTTTCACGGGCCTGATGTTAACAGCAGCCACACACCAATTCGTCATTTCCTTCAGCAGCAGCCACGCCAATGGGCCGACCCGAGCTACGGCGAACACCTTTTGCGCGGGTCTACTGTATCTTAAAAAAAACCCCTTAGGGCACTGACACCCACCTGAATTTCTGAGAGGCGCTGTGTCTCCCTTTTGATTTGAGTTTCCGTTTCCGGGTCTTCACACCTAAAAGCGCAACACGTAAATTATGGAACGCCTCATCCATGCTTTTTCTGCAGCACAGCATCTTCAGCCATGGCCCAAATTCCGCAAGCTCATACTTACCGGTGAAGCCCTACTCCACCAAATTATATTATTTTCAGGGTATCTTTCCTATTTGTGCAATCCCTTGCTCATCTGCCAACTGCGGCCTTTTCCCGCCTGACAAGGCCTATTTTGCTTCCTTCGCTAATTGCAGCGAATCCCTACCATGGGGCGAGTACAACATGTCGCCTGTTGAGCGCGGGCATAACTTCGTCAAAAGTAGTAATTTGCTCTATGGAAGCTTCAAACTTGGCCTTGGCTTTATTGAAAAGGTCCTTCTGCATAGTCTCCAGCATGGCTGGGATTGTCGACGCCGCCTCTGCCCAGGGAACGTTCCGTGCCTCCGATGTGTCTCTGCGAACCACTCGGGTTTGGCAGCTCTCTACATCTCGAGGGCCAATCTCCAATCGCAGAGGAACGCCCTTCAGTTCCCAATCGTTGAACTTCCAGCCCGGTGTGTAATTTGTCTGGTCAATCCACATGAGGCGAACACCGCTTTACATCCCACCGGAGGTACAAAAACAAACAGCGCCACTGCTAACAAAACCCGACTACTCCACTACACACCATGAACCCTCAACTGTTCATCTCAAGCGGGACAAAGCAAGGACTCCCGTTCAACACAACGGAAATAGCTTATGACACGCGAAGTTCCCGGCAACATGCACCGTGAAAAAACGAACAGTGAACAACCTGCTCGGCGACAGACGAATATGTGCTGCGAAGCGAGTGCTCACCCTGTCGTCGACCTTCACGCGGACGCCTGCGGCGTTCAGCAATCTTTCAAGCTCGCGGCACTTCGCAACAATCTCCATCCCTCCAGTCTCCTGAGAGAAGGCAATATAAAGTATGGCCTTAATGACTTCAGAGAACAAAAAGGCGAACAGCGGCAAGTAACAGGCGAGAGGCAGCATGCATCTATAGTAAAAGAATACACAGACACGCACACGCAGGAAAGAGAACACACGTGCTTTTGACGAGGTGAATGGGCTGAAGCAAAAACAGCTTGCTCACTTTAAAAATGATGGGGATGATAACTGCCTGAACAGCCACGACCCTCGGGGGAAGCACAAGACCTTTGTCATCACCATGAGTCATAATCATAACGCCCAACGAACGCGTGGTACAGCCCCAACTCGTTTGGTGCACGAGCTGTTTCGCACCCTTTTCGTCTGAATTACAAATGCAACCACTTATCAGTGTCTCATTCTGCATTCTCATCGGAAGACTCAGTACGAAAGTGATGGACGAATCTAGCCACAGTGTGTTTATTCACACAATATCTGACGTTGCATGAAATGTATTCAACAAGAAAACGTCGGACGTACGGCAGAACAAAACCGCAGAATATTATATGCATCCAATCAAGAACAGGAACGAGACGTGGAGAGCAAAATAAAGAGCATCATAACGCCGGTAAGCCGGAAAGGCAAGCACACAGACAGCAGTAGGCAGCTAACCGCTCATCTAGCGACACGCAGCGAGGACCAAGTGCACCGGAAATAGGAAAGATGGGCTAGCCCAGCGAGCAATCAAGACATGTTAGTCCACTATGGAAGCAGCTTGGCACCCTGCCAGCAGCACTGCATGCTCACCTTCAAATTCGATGCTAAACATTCTTGAAAAGTTTTGGCCGAGCAAGTGAGAAGTCGCCGCCTGGATACCTCTACCCGTATCGGGAATTATGCCCTCAATAGTTGTTGTCTTCTTCCCGCCAGCAAACTTCTCATTTTCGCTCTTCTCTCCTTTGATCACCGGAACGGCCAAATAGTCCTCGTACCATCTGCAACAGCAACAGTTCCGTCGCCATCACAAGTATATGAGTAGCACCAGTGCAATGCAACTACTGGAAACGGCGTAGACAGCGTGTCATCATCACGGGCGACGGATAAAAAACGAACGGGAGACGTGTTATTTCCTGAACCCCTGAAATTTGGGCTCGCGTTTGAGGGTTTCGGCCGTACTGCCTGTACAGCTCCAGAATCTCAAGGACAAGTGTGTATGCTTCCTCCTCTGTCGCGTGGGCGGTGTGGCCTTCCTGCCACAAAAACTCCCTCGTGCGAAGAAAGGGGGTTGGCTGTTTAAATTCCCATCTGCACCCACAGTTGCAGAGGAGGCAGCAGATCATATTCACACACCAAGCATCCTTCTGAAACACGTAGCTGCGAATGCCGAGCCATGACGGAAAAATCCACTGCGCCATCTTCTGGAGAACAGCGTCTCAACATGAGACTGGCTTCGCTGCTCCTTCGACCGCTTCAACTGTCCCTGATGCCACTAGTGCTGCGAGCCACCTAGTCCCCCATTACCTGACGACGTTGTTCCACTGGTTCAACTTTAGCGGCAGGTCACGGTGAGACCGAATCCACTTTGCGTATGCTGGATACATGATCGTTTCACTTGTGGGGCGGATGGCGACCTTCTCTGGGAGCTCAGAGTCTCCGTAATGAGTAACCCACGCTACTTCTGGCTTGAATCCTTCCACGTGATCCTTTTCCTTCTCAAGCTTCGCCTAAGTAAATGAAACCCACACCTGCGAGCTACTAATGCTGCGGAAGGTGCTCCGGGACCTGATGCTGGTACGCAACGCGGCTACGGAAAAAATCAAAGGAGAAAATGGTAAAACGAACATGCAAAACCTGCGCAACGGACGCAGCCTTCAATGTACAAACAAGGCGAAAAGGCAAAGGAATGCGCAGTTCAGAAAAGCACTGCTAACCTGAGACACGAACATCGGGAAGTAGCAATTCTCAACCCCAAGACGCTTGATACCATCATCAAAGAACTTCTGAACGGCCTCCCATATCCTGTAGGCCCAAGGACGGATGATGTAGCAGCCACTGATGTCGTAGTATTCAACCAGCTCGCCACGTACTATTACCTGCACTCCGGCAAAGGGCCACACAGATATGGAACGGGCTGTGTATACCAAGCAACAAAAGATATAACGAAACAGACAGACGACACAGCCACGCGCAGAGAAGCAGCTCGCCCGAAACAGGACAGAAGAAGCCGATAACGAAAAAGGACCTGGGAGACACTGAGATGTCCTCCTAATCGAAAAATAGGGCGCAGAAGAAAACAATTCAGCGGCGCACCTCGCGAAGCTGATGTAGTAATAACAAGTTGAACTATGCAGGGGAAATAATCAGAGTTGTTCCAGAAGCTGCCAAACACGGAAAAAACCGCGTGCTCCCTTACCTGGGTGTACCAGTCAGCAAAGTTCGTTGACTTCTTCGCCGTGACACCCAGAGTCGCCTCTTGGTGAGGAGCCTCGTCCTTGCTCCCTTTCGCACCTCCACCAAGCTTCTTGCCTGCCGTACTTGCGGTCGGCGCCGTTCCATTGACTCCGTCCACCGGAAGCTCCGATAGTGTCTGTAACTCTGTGGCCGAAAGTAGGAAACAAAAAAGAGCCACATTCTACACTGGTAGCAGACCTAGCTTTCTTTTGTCCCTCTTCAACACGAACTGTGCCGCCCCCAGAAGATGGGGGTAGCCACACTGCGCTCTAGCCCTCAAACGCTAAAAATAGCACGGCCAACACCAGCCTCATCTATTTTACACCCAGAAAAGACACACATCACGGGCAGAGCACAAAACAACAAAAGGCGACAGAAGCCAATACAAGAGCAGCAGCAAACACAAGCACCAACACGAGAAGCCGTGAGTCGCCTTGGCAAAAGCAGTAGCTCAAAATGCGAAAAAACAATTCAACTGCCAGCGTGTTGACTGACCCTCACAGTCAATGAACGTTATAGCGATGCCATTAGATATCAGGAAGGATGTGAGATCTTTCGCCGCGAGTTCCAGGCTCTGGAAGTTATGAAAAGGATGTACTAAAACTGAGATGTCACTATCCTTCAGCTTCGAGTCCAACAAGAACGTCACCTCCTTCCTGCGTAGCAGCAGAAACCGCAGGTAGCACTGTGATGATACAACAGATGGACGTCCTACTATTTTTCAGCCCCTGCCGGCTGCTGCTGCAGGTGCTGTGGCAACAGGACAACTACATTCTTTCTGGCACTGTAGGGCCTATGGTCACTCTCAAAAAAGAGGAAAAGTTTAAAGGAAATTCAGCAGCAGCAAGCGAAGCTCAACTCGCCGCAGGTGCATGGCTAGATGCACGCGGAAAAATAATGGCAGGAACGCCAGAGTCTGCAGCAGCCGCCTCACTTCTGGTCATTCAGCATGGCGAAGGGGGTCACGCATCCAGGAAGCACATTCAAAGTAGCCTCAAGCAACTTCTCGTCGGCCAACCGGAGCTTCTGAACTCCCAGCTTCGTCATTAGGCCTTTTAACGGGGTGGGCGAGTCCTGTGGCACAGAATCATTCAACGGTCCTGACGCTGCTGCCATGACCCATATCCAGACTATAAACAGCGCTATTCTTCTCTTCTAGGCTACACAGGACAAAGCAACGCAGCCGAAGGCCAGTGTAAAATGCTACAAGTGCTGCGTTCCACGGCTCCGGGCCGGAGTTAGAGCTAAAACTCTAAGCTTGACATTACATGGAGGGCCGTCAACAGGAACAGGCTGCCTTTCTTGTCCTTCAAGAACAGATTCTTGCATACTGGTATCCCGAGGGTTCCAACCACACCGACCAACTCCTCCACTGTGCCGGCCTTCGGGTGTGCGTGTTCCTGCATGCAGTATTATGCAGCAGCATCAGCATCAGCATCAATGAAGACAGCATCTTTACTATGCGGTGAGTCCGCTTCTGAAGCCGCAGCACTAGCCGCCACATATGCAACACGACCTTACTCTAAACAGAACACCCGCACTCCTAAGGGACTCCTTAAGAGTCTTCTCCTGCTGCAGCTGCTGCTGCGTTGGACCCTCTTGACTTGACATGATTTCGGTGGTTGTGCCGCTGCTATGGGTGTTTGGAAGTGCAGTATCGCCGTGGTTGGTCGGTTCGACTTGAGAGCTTGGTGTCACCGTCGAGCCCATGCAACGCTTGGCGCACGTCTGATTCCTATAAACTACGTTAGCCGCAATAGCAGTACGTAGAGCAAGGGCAGGAGCAGCAGCAGCCGAACCAAAGGGAAAAGCCCTAGCAGCAGCGACTGCGGGGTGCTCTAGGCGCTGAGAGGGCACTAACAAAAAGGCGACTATACGGGGGAGACAGTGTGCCTCCCTCCTTACTACGCTGCCAGCCTCTTTAATCATTAAAAATGTTCGCCTTAAACATGGGAGAGATACGAGACACAGAGTGGACCCCCTCTGCGAGCATCATGCTGCAACAGGTTATTGGCGATCAGCATGCACACCAGGAGCCCTAGCAGCAGCTATAGGAGCGGCTCCTGCAGCAGCTGAATTCACCGCTGCTGCTGTGAATTTTAATAGCTGAAAAATAGAAGATAGAGTTTTCACATTTTCGGGCCCATTTGACTCCAAGGATTGATAAGCGTTAGGGGGAACGGCTATGAGGCTGCTGCTCCAGTTAGGCTTGCAGGTGCTGCTGTTGCCGCGTATCTTACCTTATGCTTTAATATCAACACTATAACGCTTCCAAGAGAAACACCTGGAGGAAGGTCCAAGGGATCTGCCCCCCTGGTCCTCAGTTGCAGCGATAGCAGCCTGTGAAGGCTGCCACATCTCCAGCTGCTGTGTTAGCAACGTTATTGGGAATATCAGCCCTAACATAGTCAGCAGCAGGAGAATGATACTTCAAGGTTCTGCCGCAACTGCAGCGGCGAGGGGCTGGGTGACACCGAAAGATCACCACCGGGGTTTTATCACTTGCTGTTGCGGATGGCGTCGAAATGGAAGTAGGGGATTCAGTACGGATGCCCGCGTTATATATCTCAACAGCAGTACCAGGAGGCGTAGCGTGGTACATGCAGCTGCAGATTTGGCCCCCCTCTTCGTTATTCCGCGTATGCGGCAGCAACAGCCACTCCTGCAGTCGCTTCCTAGCGGCAGCAGTGGCCCCGAGGGATACATGCCATCCCCGCTGGCTATACACCTGAAGCATCTAATACAGAGAAGGAGAACGGGAAGACGCAGCAAATACCACCCGCATCTTCTCCCGACCCCGCCGCTTCCTGCTTCTGGGCCTCCCCTGCGTATGGCGCATGCAGTCCCTCCTCTGCCTCAGTATGCAGCTACAGCTGCTGCAGCTGTAGGGCAACAGCAACTTCAACAGCAGCAGCTCTTTCAGTTACAAGACAGGCGCCTTCTCGAGCTCCGTGGGGGCTCACCGCGGGAGGGACTTGGGCTAGCTGGTCGGGACGTTGTGTCTCTCAGCAAGGACGCAACGGCTGCAGATGCTGTCTCTCCGTCTTTTGCTGTCACGGAGTCCCTTGAAGCGGTCGCTGCTGCTGCTCTTCACCGCTGGCAAGAGGCAGAAGCAGCAGCGGCAGGTTTACCACAAGCGGCAGTAGCGGCATCGGAAAGGGACGACAGACCATTTTGGGAAAGCCTTTGCGATCGCATTTTTTCGTCGAGAGATCTCCTACCGGTGTCGTCTCTGTCAGCATTGCTGCGCCTCATCTGCTGCAGGTACGCTCCAAGAGCAGCAGCATCAGTGCCGTACTTCCTGCAGCACTTTTATACGCAGCCGCTGGACAGCAGCAGGAAACGCCAACGCCAACAGCCCTTGCAGCAGTACCGGCTACCGTCTCAGAGGCCTGTTACCGCGTCTTTGTTGCTGCCGCTGACTCGCGAATTTATTGATGATGTGCATTGTATTTCCGCTACTGCTGCTGCGAACATTGCTGCTATATTCGCCGCCAGCAATTGCCTCAGCATCGAGCTGCTACAGCTGCTGCTTCGGCGCAGCATTGATACTTGGATGCTGCCTGAAGATAAGTTGCTGCTACAGAGGCAAAAACAGCAACAACAACAGAAGCAGCTGCGGCAGATATTTGCTGTTAAGCCGGAAGCTGTCAGCCGCTTCTCCGCACAAGAATTCGCTGTTTTCTGTTCCTCGCTGCAGCATCTGCTGCAGCAGGCGCAGCTGCGCCAGCCGCATTCATTGCTGTTTTTGCCCCTTTCAGAGTTCCTTAGCAGTGCAGCAAGTTTGTTGCTGAGCAGTAGCAAAGTAGAAGACTGCCTTCAGCACCATGCTGCACTGGGAAGCCTCGCAGCTCTTGCTGCAGATGCCCTTCAGCAACTGAAACAGGAGCAGCAGCAGCAGCAGCAAGATCAGTTGCTGCAGCTTATCAAGGCGAGCGAGGTGCTGTTGCGGGCGAGCGATGCTTTTGTCTCACGAGGTGAGGAGAAAGCATCAGAAGAAACGACTGGAGGAGCAGCATTAGCAACAGCAGCGTTCAGCAGCAAAGAGACGGCAAGGCTGATGAGCCTTCTTTCGACTCTTCGTACTCCCGATTCTTTCTCGTCGCCGCAGCAGGAAAGACAAAAGCAAGGAAAGCAGCCTCAGGAACTCCCTGACAAGGTCCAAGAGAACAATTCAGGGCCTGCTGGAGGAGTTTGTGCGGACGCGGTGTTACAGCATCAGCCAGGCGCCGCCACTCTGCTGCACTTGTTGCAGCAGGTCGAACTGGAATTGGTCCAGGAAAACTCTTTGTTACAGCAGCAGCTCCAACTTGTGCCCGGGCAGGTCAGTGGGGCTGCAGTAGCCTATGATGATCCATCAGGTCACGTAAAGTACACTCGTATGAATCCGTGGGAAGCACCTACTGTGGAAACATTGCAGCTGATGAATTCCGTAAGTGCAGCGATAGCGGCAACGACAACGATACTTCTGCAGCCGTTGCTGCTGGAACGGTATCACAGGAACGTAAAACATCCGCAGCAGCGCCGACGGTGTCAACGGCTATTGGAACTGCTAGAAGAGGTGGGATCCCCGGCTCTAGCCGAAGCAGATCCGTCTGGCACGCTGGTACAAGCTGCAGCAAGGCGTGTTGTACGTATGGTGTTTGCCATCATAGCAGCGGCGGGGGCTTCCCTGCTGCCAGGTGCTGCAGATGCATGCAGAGCGCTGCTTCTGCTTCTGTTGCTTCCGCCGGAGGCGCGAGATCGGTGGCAGCTGCAGCACGCAGTGACTCTGAAGGCAAGTGCGAACTTCCCTTGGGGAGGAACAAGCAGATGCTGCCGCTGTAGGCATCCCTGCTCCGTTTGCCTACATGCATGCCTCGGTAGTGTCCCACAGCTCTCCTACAGCACGCCGCCACGCTTGCAGTTACCCCTTGTCAGCGTGCCTCCTATTGTATGCGCTGCTGTAGCACCTTCTCGAGGAGACAAGTAGGCGCTTCGCGGAACTAACGTTGCAGGAGAGGGGGCGCCTCAGTGTGGCGGTCTCTGCGCTCGGTATAACGGTAAGTCGCTTGTAATGCTTTTGCTGCTGCCGCCGCTGCTCTCTGCGATAGCACCAACAGCCGCGGGTAGCGCTGCTGCTGCCTCTGCGAGCGTTGCTGCTGGTGCTGGGAAGCATGCCACTACAACATCCACTGCTACGTTTTTACACCAAAGAGCGAGCGGACACTGCTGCTAAAGAAGCTGCGGCGACAGAATCAACCGTTTAGCTGCCATAGGAGCTGCAGGTGCTGCAGCACAACTGGTCTAATGAGCATCGTCGCCATTTGTTATTCCGGAATTGTACTGCCTGCTGATCGCCCCTGGCTTGCACAAAAGCGTAGCAGCCGTTTGCACATGTGTCCATTATTTGCACATTGCTTTACGTGTCTTCTGCTGTCAGGACCCATATATCCGTCACTACTGCCGCGTGCACGGCGTGCGACTGCAGCACCGTGTGCGTATTTCTGCTGCACGTAGAAAGGTTGCAGCAACAGCAGCGGCCATAGGAGATCCCAATAATTCCGCATCTGAGGCTGCTTCCACTACTGCAGTTGGCACAGCAGGCACAAAGCTCCGCTAGTAAGAATACACCTAACAGCTAGTTCGCGGGCTGGAATATTTGGACCGGCCGGGGCATGAAATTTGCTCGGCGTCGCTTAACAGGAAACACAGCAACGCAATGGCAATGGCAACAGCACTCGCAGGAGCCTCGGCCTAAATGCGCATTTGTTCATACAAGCACTTAAGTGTATGGTTGTTTCATCTGAGCAGCTTCAATTTTGACGGGCAGCAGCCTCTTCTACTCCCATATACGCCATAATTTGGAACGTCCTAAAGTGGAACCATTGTCCCCCGTTTGTCCACTCAGCTGTGTGGCTCATTGATCGGGGTACAGACGAAAAGGCTTGCGTACAGACGAAAGGGCTTGCAAGTTCTTCACATTAGGTGCTAGCAAGGAGGAAGCGCAAGGCCATGCCACGAGTTGCCGCCACGCAGTGAGTCAGCTTGAAATTTGCGAACCAGCCATTGGCGTAGTAGCATCTACATTTCAATAGATATGAAAGACATGATCTGCGGCACCTTCTCCGGGTAATTTGCGTGGCTTTTTACGAGCCCTGTAACGTCCACGTTTTCTACACCTGGCACAGATGTTACTGGGGCGAGGCCTGCAACCTGCGAGCACAACAAAACAGTACCGCAACAGCATGCGAAACCGGCAATCCCAAACGAAGACGGCTCGGCGGCACTTCAAAAAGAGGACGGTGTAACCAGTACTAGCTCCTGCGGATTTGTGAAGCGGAATGGCTCGGCAGCCAACTACTGGCCATCAATCACCACACTGCGTGGCCAGTAGGCCGGACCCCTTACCTGGAGTCTGAACTCCATCCACCTGTAAAGAAAGGCGAGCAGCCAGTCAGTTCTGCAGTAGACGTTAACCAGTCTCCCAGAAGTAACCTGTCGTGCCTGTCTCCACTGGGCCGCATTCATCGATGCCGGCAGGCCCATCAGCACCACATCGTGGACGCAGTGGAACTTCCGCTGCAGCAAGCAAACCAGAAACACGCCGTCGCGTTTTCAAGAGATGCAACAGCAACACATGAAGCGTTTGTCAACAACGAGCTGAGTCCACTCTACAAGCGCGCTGGCAAGATAATTTGGGACCAACGGCACCAATGGCTGCTACCTTC